TAAAGTCTAAGTTAGTTTTTACATAGCGCACACTATACAATACTTTTACAATACTCTCATCCTGTGTTTGTCATTAAAGGTTACTGTTGTAAAGCATAGCATTTAGATTTCAACAACCATCAACACCAGGATTTGAATTCACAATCACATCCTCAGATTGTACCAAAAAATGATTTCCTGAATTTTAAAGATAACAAAGCAGTTGGCTAAATATTTAAGACAAATTTGTGCATTTTTGGGAAGTTTTGATCTATTAAGGCTTTTCAGAAAATGTTAAATAGTGATACATGATGTAAGAAACCAGTTTTCAAAGGAATTTAATTTGAAATGGAGTAAGTAATTGACGAACGCAACAAATTAAGAGGTATTAAATTCAACCACTGATAAATAAGGGAGAGTGAAAGCATAACGGACAATGGATGTTTCAACACAAAGAAATTACAAAATATATAAATATTTGTGCAACTTTCTAAATATACATTCAAGAACAATACATTACACTGGTCACAAACTCAAGCTGTCTTGATAAAAACAAAGCATAATTTAAATAATTTGTATTTACCACGCATCACGTTTTAAAATGTTTCCAGAACCTCAGAACTACAGTACAAATTCCTTCCTGCCAATCTTCCAGCACTGACATAAAACGCTCAAACCAAATCACCCTATCTTTCAGTGCATACAACATAAATTTGGTCAAAACCAATATAAAATAAAAATGATAACAAAAACCCCAGTCCTACAAGACCTTGTGCAAAACGATGAGAATAATAAAAAACAGTTGTTACGTTGACATCATTTCAAGCATATTGTAGATACCAACATGTTTTGTTTTGTAATAAATGTTATTTTTCTAAAATTAGAACTGCAACTATGACTAATTAAGGAAAACAGGTTCAAAAATATTCTGATTGTTGGAAGTCATGCATTGGTATAAGTAGAGGTTTTTCACTCTTCATGCATTCTTGTAAAGAAAGATGTAAGGAGTTGGGAAACGTTTGTATTCAATTGATTTAAGACTTTCTTACTCAATCGGGTCAACGGCAGCGCCTCTCGTCACTTCTTCATTACTTATGTGAGAGAGGTTAAAAATGATTTTGTAGAATGTCTTTTGCCAGCATTAATTCGACATACTTACGTTTTTTCTTTTGTCTGTTTTCAACCTGCAAACTATTGCCTGATATCAAAACATCGGCATCATCCATGGATGTACTGTAAGAAGTGGCTACTGTAAGAAGGAATAGCACAGTGGACCCTGCAGTGATGGACATATTATTAGTCTGTAGTAGCAGCAAAACTTAATAAAACTTAAAATAGAATAAAAACTTAAAATAGAATAAAAGCATTACAGTAAAATTGCAGTTTAAGCCATTTTTGAGAACTTAAAAAGTTTTTTCTTGCAAGACGGTAAGCACTTTTAAAAAAAAAGGAGGTTGACATTATTACAACTTTACCTGGTCCTTTTAATTCCAGTTCTCGTTCCCCAATCCTATAATTGAATGTGGTGAATGTACAGTGTGTCTAAAGCTGTTCTATGCACTGCCGAATACTAATATGCTGCAACAATAAAGCTATGTTTTTTTTCTATTTGATTGATGTGCAGTTTCACATATATAACACTTTACCAGTTCAAGTTTTGTTTTTGCTCAGAACATCATATAAAAATACACAGCATCTAAGCATTACCTCTGTGGGAAGAGTGGAATCTTGTAGAACATGTAAAACTCTCTATGACAAGTCTAACTGTTTGTGTGCATGTACGACTGGGATGTATGTTTTATTGGGCGTGCAATGTAGATCATCAGTCTACAAATCAGGATACTTGGTGTCACAAGGTGTGACTTCACTTATTCTTATCCTCCAGGCCACTCTCTGCTCTCAGGGCCTGGCTGCTGGCTGCAATGAAGCTCATCCAGTGTTTGAGGTCCTCAGGAAACTCTGGACACTCGATCTGCTCAGAAAAATCGAAACAACGACAGTGGAAAGTGAGTAACATTGGCATGGTTGTGCCCTCGTTGCACACAGTATTTTTAAGGGTACAAATAAAATAAAACACAATGAATGCTGAAGAAAGGGTGACTTCCTTAAATATCATAAATCTGTATAAATGCATTCTTTATTTTCTGGCATCACTGGAAAATCAAGTTTATTAGGAGAACTATGTAGATCAAATGAAAACTTTTTCGTTGCAGACAATTTACACTTTTGGCTACTACTTTACTGCTTACCTTTCTTTTGCACACAAATTCAATAATCCTCTCTGGGCTGCAGTGCACCACATTCTGCCTGCAAAGCATGATTGCAGACACAAAACCGTCTTTCTTGGACACAAAGCGCTGCTCCAAGTAAAAGGCCTTTTCATCCCATCCCAGCACTTTAGTGCGGATCTCAAATGCCTCACGAAAGGCCAACGAGCGCCGATACCTGATAGTGGAAGCCCCTATCACCATTTTGGCCCCTAACTTGTGCGAGGCCATGAAAAGGCCATTTCTCATGTAGTGGTGAAAGCGAGCAAAGTCACACTCCCTCAGGTACCGAGAGTTGTTCATGTGGCCCATATAGTCCAAATCATGAGGAAGGACCACACCATCAATGCTTTGCTCAGCTAGAATGTCTGATATTCTGGGTTGGAACCATGCCTTGACAAACACCTGCACCCCCCGCAGGAAGTACCATACATCCAAGGTGGAGAAGAGCAGGAGTAGGACTCCCAGCACCAACAGCAACATCTCTCTGAAACAAGAGGAAGAAAACTTGAATAAGCCACTAACAGACTATACAGAGTGAATGCTATACAGCTGTAAACACACCTGCCTTTAACCAGCACAGACGTGGCCCATAACATTCTCTTCCCTTCAATTTAAAATGAAAGGAAAGACTTAAAAATCTCATGCCAATATCCTGTCTACACACGGGGGCACCTACGGAATCGTCTTTTTGATTCATTATTCCTGACTTTTGTTCATATATATTTCTTTAAGATAAATTCACAGGCACAGGCTGCTGTTAACACTCATTTCAACCTTGACAGCGCTGCAGAGCTAAAGCTGCAGCACTCAACCTGCTGGGACAGCGGCTAAAGCTGTTAGCTTATTAGCACACATCCAGTTATACCAGCAAAATCAATATTATACGTATTCCATCAAATATGCCTCACCCACAGCGTTTATTTTCAAATTTAGACGATGTGTTCAGCAAATGTGAACATTTCAAAAAATATATATAAAACTCAACTTACACACGTAGCACAGCGCTTGCATGAGAGACGACGCAGGTGGATGGAGCCGGTTAAATGAAAGACTTCCGCTTGGTGAATGACGAAATGTAACGTGATTGGTTAACCTTTCGGCACGATTACGTCAGAGTGTTTATATACGACTTCCAATAAACAGAAAATCATAAAAAAATATGACTTCATAAGAATTTTCTATTGCAAAAATTGAATTTTGTTAAGTGTAGTAAGTAGTACACATAAGTATATATTTCCTGGTTCTGTCATTCAATTATCCATACAACAAACTTACATTTTTTAGTGTTGAATATGAAACGAAGAATGAATTCAAACTGTAGTGAGAGAAAAGTATGTTCCAGTCCAGCAGATATTTCCAATTCTTAGAAGAGTTAATTGTACAGCCAAACTGTAAACTGATAGACAGAACACACATTTTAACAACAGTGCAAAGATTTATTTGTTCTTCTCTTCTAATCCACTCTCTGCCCTGAGGGTTTGGCTGTTGGAAGAGATAAAGTTCACCCAGTGCTGAAGGTCTCCTGGGAATTCCGGACATTCCACCTGCAGGATGTAACGCATCATTATATTTTAATGATCAAACAAATAATTAAGATATTTTGGTTTTGTTTCATATGCGTACTGGGACATTCTTCTGTACCTTTCTTTTGCATAGATGTTGCATGATCTTGTCCGGACTACTACAGATAACATTCTGCTTGCAGTACATGATGGCACATACCAACCCATCTTTTGTCGACACAAATCTCTGCTCTAAGTAAAAAGCCTTGTCATCCCAGGTCACGATCCGACTCCGAAGCTCATAGCCCTCACCGATACAAAGAGCTCTTCTGTAACGCATTGTGGTGGCTCCTACCACCATGGAGCCTCTCAGGGCTCTAACAGCCTTCCACACTCCATTACGTACATAGAGAGAATATCTGGCAAAATCACACTCCCGTAGGTAACGAGCATTGTTCATATGGCCCATGTCGATATCATGTGGAGTGACCCGTCCTAGAAGCACCTGCTCCGCTGTCACATCCCACACTGGAGGCTGAAACCAGGCGCGCAGGACCACCACTGCTACCCGTAGAAAGTACCACACATCCAAACTGCAGAAGAGAGCCAGCAATGTGGCGAGAACCCCCAGCACCCACCACATATCTGAATGAAATAAAACATGAATAAGGTTAGGTTGATGGGATGTGGGATACGTAATCAGTTTTATTTTCATGTACTTCCATCAATTACAAAAATATTTAAGGAATCAAATCCTAAGGCATTCCATTTGCCAGTGTATTTGTAGGCTAATTAATATTCTGATGTACTTTCAATTTTATAATCCGATTTTAATCTGAATAATCTCAGGGTGGCTGTGAATTTATTGAGATTTATCAACATTATTAAATATGACCAAGCTTCGGACAAACACAAACAACAGCTGGTAGTTGTATGTATTTTACACCTGTTTTATTTGTTACTAAGTAAAATTATCAATATGGAAAAATGTCTATATATATATGCAAAATTATAATTCAAATTCTGGTTGATTTTAGTAATTACTCTGCATCTTGACCTGGGATATTTTACTGATACATCAATGATACGTTCTTAGTTTTTGCATCATTTCATTACAAAAATATTCCTGTCTCAGCAGGTAATTTGATATGTAATTTAATATAATATCTCGATATAGTAACAACTCGGTACAGTACGTTTGTTAGCTTCATTGCTTTTACGTTTCAAGCAGGTCCAGTCTCTTACAGACAGGTTTTACAGGAAAGGCGTGTTTAACAAACATTCTCCAGACCCCTTTCAACCTTAGCTTATTTGACTTATGTTTAGCTTAACGTTTATTGTTTGTAGGAACATGCTTTCACACTAATGCAACGCTTTTGGATTAGTGTATTTAAAATATACCCGCTGCAGGTGTCCCGTAAAACTGCCTGTTGAAGTTGTAACAAGAGTTCTCGCTAAACTTTATGTCTAATCTTCCAAAATAGTTAAACAGTTCATGTTCCAGATATAAACCTAGTCACACTGACCTCATCGATTCGGGATCCGGCCTTTCCAACTGAATACTGTGGATAGTTTTCGACATGAATCTTTCTCCATGCAACTCGGGTCAAACGCTGCTGGAAATGCAATTGCATTAAGAAAGGCTCAGTCTTCAAAATAAATCAAAACTGAGGTTGTTGCTGTAAATCTGCTGTGGTACAAAACAGATAGAAAATTAAATAAAATCCGCTAATCTACACCCATCCCAGATTTACTTGATTCTAGGATGATTTTAGGATTTAGAAGATTTAGGTTATCTTACAGATATATCATGGTTAGTTTCTTCTAATACAGTGAAAAACATTTATTTTGAAGTTAAGATATCAAACTTCCGGTTACCACGTTATGACGAAGACATGTCGTTGTCTATTGTTTATTCACAGTAAAACTTGATTTTTTTCTGTTTATATCAATGAATATACAGGTTATGGAAGTTATCGTGATGAAAAATATATCATTTCAGTGTGTTCTATACCTCAGACTAAAAGTAACACACACACACACACACAACTAAAGTAACATTGGGGTTTATGAGGTTAAGATTTAACAATAATAAAAAAAACAACTACATTACCTACTATAAGAAACTTTCGACTACATAGGTTGCCTAAAATAACAACAAACTCAGAAGTTTGTTTCTTTAATTGAATGCAACACTGCACAGGAAATCTAAAATTATCAAACAAACCTGCAAGAAACTTCAGTGATTTTACCATCCTCACAATTAAAGCAGAAAACAAAAAGTCAACAGTGTACTATAGTTTCAGGTATGCATGGTAGCAGCATCTACACGATTAAGCAAGCGGACCTCTACTTTCTTGATTCCATTTTGTATACATCCACCTATACCCACAGAGGTCACCAGATGTTTGCTGCTGTTTTTTAACAACATTTTGTCATTTTGGGTCTTCATTTTTGCATTTTAAACAAATTTTGTATTTTGTTGTGGTTATCGCCTGCACTTTCTTAAGTGCTGAACTCTGCAGTGGGGTGGGGGGTAATGCAGTTTGTGATTTGTCTCTCCTTCTGAAAAAGGTAATACTTACTGCTTGAGTGGTGAATGCAATTGTTTGATGTAGGACCAACTCCAGGGAAAGATGAGTTTTCTTGTGATTTAACTTGGAAATCTGTGTGAGAGCTCTGGGGGCTGCAAGGGAGATCGGCGGTAATGTACATGTGAGATAAACTACAGTAAGATTTGCTCTTATCGTCTATGCAATTAGGAGGGGCTTGACGAGAGGAAGTGAATGTGGTGAAGCCAGTTATTCTTTTTAATTTATTTAATGTAATGCTATGTTGGCTTTGCGTCCTTGAGGAGGAAGGAGCATGAATTGGAGTGAAGGACACAGAGGTGTTGGTGAGAGGGGTCTGCCTAGGTTCAGGATAGAGTAGAGCTGATGGTGGGTGTGGTCTTATATCCATTGATGACAAAATCTGATCTAAGGCCTTTGGTCCGACTGGCAGCCTGGGAGATAATGAACAAGTATTTACTTTTACACAGTGAAGCAACCACATAATTAACATTGTACTGAATTAAGAGAGGATGCATATGAGGAGAAAAAGTAACTGTTTTCCCTTTCTCTTTTTTTTATTTGCTAGTTTAATCAAATAGGGCTTCGGTTTTATTGTAGTCACTTAGGTAAATTGGATTTGGCAAAAAACAATTCCCATTTAAGTTTCCTCAGTGCATTCTATAGTTATTTGTTTTTCACAATACTTTTATTATTTAGTATGAATATGTCCAATATTTTTTTAGGTAATTTGATTGGTAGCTATCAGGTCACTTTCTCTGACTAGTGAACCCAATTTTACATTTCTCAATAATATAGTTTACTTCTCATGTGAAATCCTATTACTTTTGTTTTTAGGGTTTTAAAATAAAAATGGTACAGACCTCAGCTTGTTTTTTAAGTCCTTCTCCCAGATAGGTTGAGGTGTAGTTTCGAGCAAAGACGAAAAAGAGTCCAAGTCTGTTTGTATTGTTCCTCTGAGCTCTCTCAACTCTACAAACAAATATAAAAACAGACAAATTATCTAAAATCAAACAAAATGAATTTCTCTCATTAATACAGATTATAACAAACGGAATATTGAAGAATTTATTTAAAAAACGGTCATACACGTTTTGAGCCACAGGGTGGCAGCAAACACTAGAACAATATCTTTTAGACTCACCTAGAAGTGAAAGTTCCCGTTTCTCAAGTTTTCTTTGACTCCTGCAATTTTCTTTAATACTTACCTGTAAAGATGAAACGATAACGAAGCGTAATGAATAATATCAGAAATAACTTAAACGTTAACTCTGTAGAATTAGCGAAACATAATTACTGCATTTAATGTATGAAAGACAGAAAAAAAGAACGTCTGTTTGAGAGAGGGAGAGAGAAAGAGAGAGAGCACTAAACGTTTGAACACTACTGTTCCATCATATTTTGGAACATCTACATTGATTGCGGTAAAACCATTTAGAATCTGCACACGTCCCTAAAAACCTGACGGAAATGTGTGTATTTTGTTTTGTTTTTGTATTTGTTACAAATGACCTTCAGGCACCTCTCTTCATACTTCACCAGGACTAATGCTAATAGAGAGTCTTAATGGCAACCACAGACTTCCACCAGCCCATACACATACATACACACACACACACACACACACACAAACACACACGTTCCACCAGAAATACCAACAAGCCCAGAGACTGACAGATAAAACATATATTTTTGCTCTGTTTTCCCAGTATGGATTACAAACCCCACGTCTGGTGGAACTGCCTTCGAGAGCTGCATATGAAGAATGTGCAGAGTCTCTGACTGAAATCCTAAACAGCTGTAAAGCAAACACATATACACACAAAGAGGGAGAGACAGAAAGAGAGAGAGAGAGAAAGAGAGAGAGAGAGGTTTGATTTCACTGCCCTGGAGAGGCTAATGTTGATGTTTGGGAACTCCTGGTATGTTACCACAGTCATTTTTCTATGCCTGAGACTCTCCAACACAAACCCACTCACTAACAAAGACCCTCCCTCCACTGATGAAGAGTGGCGAACATAAAATCATAAATGACTGCACTCCTGCCACAGCATCCACCACAAACCTGTCTTTTCATCATCAACACTGAATGCTTTATTACCTCTTCTACAGATTACCATTTGAGCTGCATGAGCCTGAGTAGAATTTCTAAAACATTGAATGATGATTTACTCCCTCCAACCCAGTGGAATGTCTGACTTGGATTGTGTAATAATGAGTGGGCTCACACCGAACACGTGTCAGTTTGGGCTCCGTCAGTCGAAGATGCATTCTTCTATAAATAAATACTGGATGGGAAATATTGTCATGTGACTTTTATACATAGCACATGGCAACGCAAATTTTTCAAATGCGGGTACGTGGCCCCCTGGGGGTACGTTCTTTGGCTGCATCAGATATTTAGAACTGACCTCATTGACATGCTTAGAGACAACGACATGAAAATAAATTTCACATATAGATGAAATACAAAGGAATTCACAGAGAGGAGTTGAGATGAGTACTGTGATCATATTTACCATCTATACGACAGCACAAAGTTTATGTAATAAGATTTTCAAATAATAGTCACTCATCAGTAGAAATGATGAATGTTTCAAGTACAATCTTGCGAAATGACATTTTGTAGTTAATCACCAGCACAAATGGCCAAAAGCCTGCATAACTACCAACATGACACCAACCAAGAGCAGGAAACAGATGTCAACAATCAACAGTCTAAATATGCATTGTGTGTTTCAGAGTTGTGGACACGTTTTTCTGCTTAGCTCTTCACTTTAGAGATCATCTCATCTCGACCAAACCTAAGATTCTCCATCCCCCCCCCCCGTTCCCCAAACCTACTAAAGCACTGCGGGATTTGACATAGTGGATCTGTGTGACTGAAGGTTGCTGTAGACAGTTGTTCAGTCAGTAAAACACAGATCATAACAAGTGCTTCACTTCACTTCACTGTGTGTTTGTAGTTGAGGGTGTCCTTCATATTTCTGCAAATCTCAGCAAGTGTGAACAGATGAAGCCTTGATCTTGTATTTGTTGACAAAAACAAAACAAAAATCCCACAATTTCACACAAATTCTAATGAGTTTTGTCTCAAAATAAAGAACAAAAAAAAATTGACAATGCAGCAGCGGATGGAAGAGCACAAAAAAGCATGATTAGAATGTTCGTGCAGGATGGCATCACAACATGAAACACCAATGAATGGGCAGAGAGGCAGAGAGAGAGAGAGAGAGAGAGAGAGAGAGAGGGTGTGTTGTCATATAGTACTGCTGTAAGAGCAACATTTTCACAGTCCCAATGGATTGAAGACCAACTGATGAATGAATGAACTTATTATGTTCATTCAATGAATGAACTTAGGGAATACCAATTCTTAAACCATTCATCATTGCATTACAAATAAACTAAATTCTTCACTACAATATAACAATCACTAGTTTGCTGGTTTGATTCTCAGTCTTTCTTTAAGATCTATGCATATGTCCCTGCAATGGACTGGGGAACTGTCCAGTTCTGCCCCCTGTGACCCTGACAAGCATTAGGGAATAACATAATTATTTGTCAAGGCTACTTGTGTATTATAACAGGGAAATGCTAACTGTGGACTGCCTACTTTTTTGCCTACTTTCCAGGCTCCTGAAACAAAGCCAGTAAAAGTCCAGGGTGTACAGTTGCTGTTAATCCAAAAGTTACAAACATCACAACGACCCATTTATTTTGATGTTTCTAACATTTAACCTGAGCCGTGGAAAACAAACGCTTACAGTTTCATTATCCCCTCATTAACAGAAGACCATTTCAACAAATTGTTCGGTATTAAACAAAAAGCTTTCAAACTGACCATGGCAATAAAGAAAATTGCCAGGAAGTCAGGAAATCATCAAAAGTAAGTTTTAAACTATTAAACGTCCTCAGCAAGATCGTAAAGCCACACACCTGCATACACACACACACCTGTACACAGACACACACCTGTATAGATTTATGTTGCTTCACTCAGAAATGCCAGGTGTTGCACAGACATGCTTTGCCCTGCACGGCCGTTCTTTGTGATGAGACTCTGGTGTCTGTTCAAATACATATTTCTATTTTGTTTTCCTAACAGTACTGTTGACCATGCAGAGGTCAGAGATACTGGACGCCTTTACCCAGGCTGCAAGTCCAACATCTGGCTTATGTCACAAAAACATGAAAAAGTAACCAGATGGTAAGCAAACCTATATATATATACACGTGTGTGTGTGTGTTTTTAAATGTATTCAATAAGCCATTTGAGTAACTGAAAGGTGATCACTCTTATTCTGCACGTTAGAGCTCTTGGCCAGACAGATGGAAAAACAGGCTTAGACTGAGACCATACAGGCTACCAATGTGTGTGTGTGTGTGTGTGTGTGCATATTTTTGTGACCTCTGGCATAGTTCTTGGGTTTTATTGGACCAAAATGCAGGACCAATTTTCTAAGGCTCTGGTTGAAGACATTCATATAAAGCATTTTCATATTGTATCTATATATAAATATATAAACAATACAATATAAAGTGTGAAATAAAAAGTCTAAAAATATAAGTTGATTCCAATATTTGTTAGGTGAAAGGAATTCTACTTGAAATACTTCTTTTTCTTTGATGTATCCATCACTGTCTCTTTGAAAATGATCTTAATATTTTAGTTGGTGGATTAAAAACAAAGCATTTGTTAAATCTGTTGTTTTTATATTAAGTTGATCTATTTACATTGTTCAAATAGAATTCTTATGATAATAAGCTTTAGCTTGATGAGCCAGTAATGGCTGGAGAAGGAATCATAATCTAATTATCTATTACTGTACTACTAAAGTAAGGCAATAGCGTTAACATTTTTTATATAATTTTCTATAAATAAATGTGACATTCAATTGAATATAAAATGTATAAATATGCATTATTTCCATTTTATTTGTTTGGAAATATATATATATATATATAACAAAAAAAACCAAATAGAAGAAATGTGATCCTGTACTTTATGTGAATGTGGACAGTACTGATAAAAACCGGTTAATTTAAATACTTGATAATCAAAGTAAGTACAGTCAGAATAATTAATATTATAAAATTAGTATGTTATTTTTGTGTGTTATTTTTTATTTTCAATTGAGTAGCTTGACTGTAGTCTGGTTTTGGTGATACTGAAGAACTGAAGTCAGTGAGAATGAAGAGACAGAAGTTCGCTGTTTGTGTTTGGATCAGTTGTTGTTGTTGTTGTGTGTGTGTGTGTATTTGAAACACTTACCTTGAAACTCTGCACCATTTTGTTCAGTGCCTCACATTCCTCCATTAAAACAGATCTGGGTGAAGATGGTGGGACACAGAGACGGACAGAGAGGTGTCCAATGAAGTTCAAAGGGTTAAACTAAAATTTCTTTGCACTGAAATTATGCAAAGAATTACACACACACACACACACACACACACATATATATATATATACATACATATACATATATAAATATTATCTTGTCTTATTTATAATCAATAACTTATTTTCGGAAAGCTTATACAACAAACAGGACTAAAATTACATCTTCAATATGTCGGCAACAACTCACCCAACCATCCATCCATTAACCTATTCTTCTATCTGTCCATCATCTGACCAACCATCCGTCGATTCACCTGTTACAGTATCTGCCTCATTTAACAAATATTTTAACCATTTAAAAACCAGTGAAAAGATTATATGGGTTTCCACAAAGTTATTGTTATTAATGAGTATATAGAAATATATATATAGATATAAAATCAGACAGTACCAGGGAGGCAGACATGGTCTATCCACAGAATTTCTAATAAGGTGCCCAAGACACTGTGTCCTATTTTTCTCTCCCGCTTCTTTTCCCCCAAACTCTCCCCATCTCTGGTTACATAACTGTAGTAGACTTTATACACTTCTTTCACTTGAAAAAGAATCTTCTGCACACTCTGCTTCTGTCTGGGATCCATTTCCTGACAATGGAGCCTTTTGTACTGGCAGCGTCGGGAAACGTGTGTGTGTGTGTGTGTGTGTGTGTGAAAGAGAGAGAGAGAGGGAGAAAGAGAGAGAAAGAGAAACATGTTTCCCTGTGGGCCTCAAAGAAAGAGATGTAGAAAAAGGAAAAGCAGGGTTGAAGTGTGATGAAGGCTATAGGGAAAAGTGTGAGAAAGAAAGAAAGACTTAAACATTTCAGGGAATGTCAGTGTTATTCAAACTCTCACAGCCTCTGATGGTCCAGTTTTAATATTAGATTCAATGTTCATGCAACATAACTGAGACTATTAGTGGTTGCAATGCCATGTTTCCATCATCTTTTTTCTGATTTCTGCTCATTTACCCTAGATTAGGGTCAATTAAATTCACTCTCATTCACTGATGGTCCTGCTGTACAACACAATGACCAAACATTTACTTTATTCCCATGTTTTGTCATTCTTTCTCTCACCATAAAACCTTTATTTAACACATGATTCTACCTTATTACAAGAGAAGAACCTAAAGCTCTTTCATCAGAATTTCGTGGCTTCACTCCTGCAGAAGTAGAGGTTTCTGGGGTTTTTTTAAAACCTAAAATTGTTATAATTAGCAATCATAACAATGCAAAGCAATTAACAAGACATGTAGTTGTTCATAATTATTTTTCAAAACCATGAAATCACATCTAAACTACACTGTATTAGACCAGTGAAGTAAGGGTAAAAATACATTAAAATAATTAAAAATAATTAATTAAAAAAATAACATTAGCAATACTTGCTATGCAGTATTATTATTGATATGTAGTGCCAGAATTAGTTTTAAATTACTTAAAAGTTCAGCAGAAATATTTCAAAAATGTCTTAAAAGTTGTCAAAACGTTTACATTTTAATATTAAAAATAATCCAAAAATACCCACTGAACACATCTTCTTTGGATTAGAAAAAAACAACACTTATGGATGGGACTTATGGCCTTATTTTCACCCATGCCAGTGCCAAGACTGACCCCACACTTTGGACTTGCCTACTTTAATGGAAACCAGGTGGATGTATGGTAGTGTAGTTACACCATGTGCTTTCACGTGCTTTCCAGCAGTCACAGAAACTGGGTCATTAAAAATCTGAACAGGGAACTCTGGGTAATAAGCCATTAAACCTAATATGGATGGGTGAAAAACATGTGAAAAGACTCTTCATTATGAAATATAAATGCTGGTTTATAAAAATAAATAATTTAAAGGGAACATTTTTAGGAAAAAAGAACACTGAAACTGAATTGTTTTTATATATATATGTATATATAGCGTGTTACTTACTTGAGACGATCCACTACTTGGTCAATGTCGGAGACGTTAATCTTGTCTCTCACTGCTTCAATCTCTTCTTCGGCACATGACCTGAATGAACAGTGAGAGCTTGGTCTCAAGGGGAAGAAAATATTGAAATATATGAGATTTTTTTTTCTTTCCAGTGACACCAGTCAATTGATCAGTAACGGTGTTGCACGTCTGACTCACCTGCTTCCATCTGCAGCGTTCTCAGAGTTGACGCCGTTGCTGTTGAAGTTGTTGCGGTGACTGAGGACATAGTTTACAGTCTCAGGTTTGTACTTTAGCAGGAGCTCCGCACCATCTCTGCAGCAAAAAAAATCAACATTGAAATTAAAATGTAGCATAGGAAAAAAAAAAGCAAATAAAGCAAAAAAATATAACCTTGAGTGTCAATGAGCTACTAAGGCATATTTGCCCCATGTGTCCATTTTCATATCTGTGCAATATGTTGCCAGGTCTATCTGTACTGTGTTCTTTTTGAGGACATTATCATTTAAAGTGGTGTGAGTCCAGGGGAAAATTGCATCATATTGTATCGTATTGTGTCATATGGTATTGAAGGTACAGCCCGTGATACATTTAACACATTCACTTCTATCCACATGCCATCTAACACCACATGACATCCAACTGTTTTTACATTTTACTGTAACCTTGTCTGTCACTGTTGACAGACTTAATTTATCACATGAAGATGAACGATGACCGACACATTTCCTTCCTAAAATTCCTTTCACACTGCTTTTCTAGCGTTCATTGATGAGGAAACAAAGCTCACAGTGACTTGACAAGTTTCTTGTCCAAAGGAAAAGTTAAAAAGACCAATCAATGCATCTCTGGATCTGTTGGGGACAACAAACCATTTATTGGCCCAGGCCGCAGCTGAAGAGGTGACACACTGGTCAGCTTGGCATCATTTTATTGGCTCTGGCTCGGGGTTAAATGCACACTTTATAGCCACTCAGGCAAAGAGATGATGGTGTGGGTGGAGGGCCAGGGCATGTGGACCACACAGGAGAAGGCCAATAATATAAATCAGTGGGCTTTTACAAGACATAGAGCCAAGCCAACAAACTCACCGCCATAAAAATGAATGACATGGAGAGAGAATTGTGGCGCAATGATGAAGAACCTGGCTTAGCACTCAGCTGATCATGAAATGTGGCTCTATGCACATCAGATAACATAACAAAACAGTACCAATACATTATTGGTATTCAACCTGATACTTCACTTTACTATGCAGCAAGTATCATTAAATTCCAATCATCTTTAATTCCAATATTGTTAAAACAAGGACATTAATACTTTTAATAAAGAAATAATGCTTTTACCAGTTTTTGGTTTTGTCAAAGAGAAACAGGGCAAAAAGAAAAACAGGAACTGCTGTTCACTGTTGGTCCTGAGGGTGATTTAGGTGCAATGCACTTGGAACTGCTCCTAATTTAATGATGAAAGGCCGGAAACACACAGAAGAAAACATGTTGTCTACACAAACACACACCAACCCAGGGTACCATGCCTCACAATCAAACAGAAACCAACTTCAAAGAAAGCTATTTGTGTCGGCACCGCCTGTGTGGCCTCTGACCGTGACTTTCTTGGAATCCATTTGAGCTAACACGCTGCACCACAGAGCCCTGTTTGTGTGAAGTTGAAGGTGAGGTTTTAATCTGTACGTGGCCCAGGTGCACACTAATGAGAGACAGTGCTGCAGTGGCCTCGTGTAGCTGCATTGTCAACTCAAATGTCAGGCCTTGCTACTGCTGTCCTATCACCATGACATCTGCGGTAGCACCACCAGGAGGGTCACAGTCGTCAGCTTGTAGCAAAAGGTTCCATCTACCTTCAAAATGTGTTACATGAGTTTGTGTTTTTAAGAGAAACAAAGCCACGAAACCACCGTCTGAAAGTACCTGGTGATTGCACCAATGACAATGATCTCAGTTATTTAACCTGATCTACTAAATTACTTTTTGTGTTACAGAAATATGCTGTTGCCGAATATGCACTACAGTGAAATTCGTTCAATCTGTAGCAGTGGTTCCTAAACCTTTTTTATTATGTAGCAAAATTAAAACCCTGCAATTCCTGTAAATTTATAAACAAAAATGCAGAAACAATTGATACTCTTTAGTTTAGAGCAGTGTTTCCTAACCTTTTTTAAGCCACGGCACATATATATATCACAGCACACCACCAAACAGAACTCTCCCAAACAGTATATGTAATGAAATATAATAATCTTCTAGTTTAAATGACCTCATAATTGAATAATACCTCAGCCTGTTTAGTTGAAGACAACACTGATATAGTGGCAAGAATTAAAGAAAGAGACTCACAGATAATCTTTTTTTATATAGCTTTCATAGCCATCTGCTGCCACCTAGCAGAAGAGTATTTAATTGTTCTGCCTTTCATGCTTTGACAAGCGAAGAAAAATTATATGTTATAAATGAATAATAGTTTTTAGCCCAATTAAGTGAAATGTGATCATTTTCCACGGCACATCTAATGATGAGGTTGAGAATCACTGCTTTAGAGGGTAAGGAAGGTAAGGATCAGGGATACAGACAGACACGGGCATAAACACATTCCCATCACTGCAACTAATGACCTGGAATGTTTAAATTAACAACACAACCTTAATTGACAAAGAGATTGAAAAAGGAAAATACAATAACAAAAGGAAATTGACAAATTGACAGACAATATAAAGCTTTGTCATCAGAACAGGGAACAATCCATCTTATGTTGAGCTTTTCATCAAACAGTTAAATAAAACCAGAGGAGTGTCATAGGGCAACATTCCTGCCAGCAGTGAGTCAGTTGCTGGGATACAGTAGTTACAGATTATTTCTCTTTATCTCTCTGTTCCTCCCTCACTCGTTTCATGCACCAACAACATGCTGCTGGCAGTTTGGGGCTTTTCTTTTTTTTTTTTTTTTACAATTTTATCCAAGGTCATTCACCAAAAAAATGTTGATGACTCATAGGTGATGTGAGTTGCATGATTAGCTATGCAAATAAATAACTTTGTCTTGCATTATCATGCTAAAATGATGTGCATTCTGAGTTTGTCAACACTGAGCACAACATAGCTCCATTTCACCAGACCTTAAAACTAATTTGAATAAACAAAGAAGGAATACATTTAGGTTTGGATATAGAATTTGTCCACACAATATATAGAATGCAAATAAAATAGAAAAAAAACAGAGTATATTTATTCATTTATCAGATGTTTTAAGATGCTTTGTACACTAAGGCTAAGCTAACTTTGGGGCTTCAGTGACAGTTTGTCCTCTGACTACTTGAAATACTGCGCCATTGAAGTTCAGTACAAACAAAATAAAGCCACAAAAACTTTAAAGTTCTTTGTCAGACTTGTTCCAGAAGAGTGGAACAAGCAGTACCACATTTCAAATGAAACCCAGGTGTTTAATCTGTATGGCTGACCATAGCTTTGACAACTACCTAAACATTAGAGCAGACTGCACAGGCATCCAGACTGGGACGCATAAATATCTAAATCCTCTAAATGTCCCATTGTTCCACCATTGCCAAATCAGTTAGCTTCATCCCTTCTCCAAAGCCCTTTGTTCCGCCACTTTCACATCCCATTTGTTACTGACACTGAAACACAATGTTGCGTTTTATGGCACTCTTTGTTAAAACAAAAATGACATAAGGCATGTCAGAGCAGGGTCTTAACCCATGTCCAACACTTCACTAGTAAAAGACATAAAAAAACCTAAAAGTTTCCCACACTGGCAATTATATAAAGATAGAAGAGAAATAAAGATGAATAATTATTATTATAAAAAAGTACAAAGTAGAAAAAATCTTGAGCTCTTCTTATAGATTCACAGAATGCAGAGCCTGAAAAATTCTAAATATCACACTTATATTGATATAAGTGTGATATTTAGAATTTTTCAATATGTAGCTTAAATATGATCAGAAGAAAAAGAATAATAAACATGTAGTCACATCCGAGAAAAATATATGCTTATTAGTTTTTTTGTCTTATTGTTATCAGGAATGCTGTGATGTGACAAGCATAGATTTTGTAGTTCAAAAAGTAGCTAAATGAATGGATTTTTAAAAAAAGAATAATATATTAAATAACTATTATTTTAGGCTAATAATCTAAGTATACTGTGTTAAACTTTGTATTTAAAAAGTGTTATGTTTTTAGCCAATTTAATTACAGTAAAAAGTATACACATTTTCACATTTAAAACAAACCTATCAACTGTCATTTTGAGCCTTTGTCATCTTCAAAATCATTGAACTTTGGCAAAAAAAAAAAAAAAAAAAAATCCCACAGTCAATGGTTTAGACAAATATACTGTGCATACCCTCCTCTGCTGCTGGCTCTCTCTTCAAGAGACTGCAGCAGCATCTTGACCTCAGCTCTCAGCAGTTCTTTGATTACAGGTGGATCAGGGAGTGAAGAGATGGAGGTTGCTTCTCTGCTGCTGTGATATCCACTCTGCTGGCTGTCCTGCCACATGCTGTACCACATCTCTGCCTGGAAATGTGACTTGACATAGTTAGCAAAAAATAATGCCTTTTATGCTGTAAAAATGCTAGTGGCTAAAGACCTTTTATGATTTATTAATTTTGCTTAATTGACCTATTATTAGTTTACATTTAAAGTGGACGCCACAGCTGACCGTCAGACAGGACAAAACAACTTAATAGTTTGAGGAGTTTATAGGTCATCTGTGAGGAGAAATACGGTATACGCTTGTGATACTGTGAAAAACATACAGAATTGATCTAGAATAATCATAATTAATCATGATCAACCATTATAATTCCACAGCTACCCTTAAATTAATCAGATTAAAATTTCAATCGTTTTACAGCCCAAAACTTGGGCCATCAGCTATAGGTCATAGAAATACACTCAAAGATACAGGCTTAGTTTTGTCAATTCAGTGCGTCTGCACACACTCACAATTTTTTTAAGTGTTTATGTTTCCCAACTGGCTAATGGTTGTTGCTCCTGAAATTTCTTTACAACCTCTCTCTGCTGGTACGTGGTTGATCTAATTCTGGAGCTATTTTAAGGAAGTGCTGTTGAAAATCTGTCAGGTAAAAAAACATCCTCCACTGAGGAGCTGATATCTTTAATTATTAATGTTTTTTCGAGTACATTCACCTTGAACAGCTTGTTCTCATTCAGTGTGTGTGAGTCAGAGATTAGAGGAAGATGAAAAGAAAGTGGCCTTTGACGCCGTGTTGAAAAGTGAGGCTGCTGTTCCCTTTAATCTGACTGTGAGACAATGGCCACCTTGATGAATGCATGGATGGCTGCACTGAGGAATGAAGGGGCCTGTGAATCTAATATTACCTTTCAGAGAGCTGGAGATGATTACAGGCAGAACGAGGGAGTACTCTGTACAGTACACTTTGGTGGTTCACTCACATCTATTGAAATGCCTTTTAAAACAATTATCCATCATTTACTCTCAACATAAAGACAGAAAAAACACTGACCTCTGGCCTTTTTGCTGGTGTCGAATAGACTGAGAACTGTTTCCAGTCTGTATTTTACTTAAATTGGTGTTTCTCCTTTCACAACAACACTTGTTAATGGTTAGTTTTAGTAACTTCACCCTGTCTGAGAATACCCAAGTCACCAGGTCAGAATCTAAATGCTGCAGCTTTGAGAAGAGCCAGAGCCAAAGATTAAAAATCTGATTTTGCTGCTGAAAAAACTGCAGGAAAAAATGCAGAAAAAAAACATATATGAGAATAATGCTAATTTATTTGATAGTTTTGTGTTGTCCAAAGAGTGATAGTGTAAAAGAAAAGTTGAGTTGAAACATGGAACAGCTTTAGAGCTGTGACAGACTGGTAATATATTCTAAGTTTGAACGTTCCTGGGCTGGGGGAAAGTCAATAACATATCCTGATGGGGAGATTAATGACCAAACACATGGTGAATAAAAGAAGAAAGGAGATTCCGGTGTTTGAAGTGAAAATGTGGAAGGTATGCACTCTTTGAGAAAAAAGTTGTTTTAGCATCAAATTTAGAGAGCTGGCTTTTTTAAAAACTATTTTCTGATTTATTATTTATAAAATGAAAACATCAGGTTTCATGTTGTTTTACTTCAAATTATCTGCAAACATCCAGTTCAATAAACTCACCTGTCATCTTCTATACTTGACTTGTTTCTGTGCCATCCCACCTTTGGCTGGTGATGTTTTCCAACTGAATGTGCAGAATTGTGTCTTGAGTGAGGTCATGTTGAGAAGACTGAGCACCGGGGCTTTGGGGCCAGAACTTTATTTAGCCTCAAGTAAATACTCATGTCTGCTGCCTCACATTTGAACTCCCCTGTGGCAAAATGCCAGTTAACCCACATTTCACTTTTATTAGACTCTTGTGACTGTAATGAATGAGTGCATACGGCCAAACTTAAACCTTAAATTGCGGTTCATAAACTGCTTGGCCAGCACGCTATGTGTAGCACATATTTAGATGCACACTGCTCAAGTGGAAATATTTGAAAATTTCAAAACAAAACAAACATCTGAATTCTTGCACTATGTAAAGAATACATCATAAATTCTCAAGAAAATAGTTAGACTGTAAAAGCGAGGCATGCAGAAAACAGAAACAGAAATAGTACAAAAATCCCTTTTACCTCAGTGTGTACTTCTGTGTACATGTCAACCAGGAAGTGGCCCAGTGCTGTGCAGATATTTGGCAGCTCTGACCCTGGAACATGCTTAACAATCAGGGCCCACAGAGACGGGCCTGGGTCGTGGCACCAGAACTGGTTTTCATCAAGAGACTGCATGTGTATGACAATCTGAGTGTGCAAACACAAGAAAACACATTGCTTAAAAACAAGTTTATTTAACTTTGGGGTCAGGAAGGTTTCACTTGTGCAAGTCAAAAGGTAAAAACGAAGAAAATACTGTTGTGATTTGCAAAAAAAAAACAAAAACGTTTTAACTATATCAAAATAAACAACTTTTTTGAGCGTCAACGTTAGCCACGAGCTAGGCTAAACCGGCTTAGCTTCCTATACCTTAAAACGAATCAACCAACAATATCATAACTTACGTTTACAGGATTTGAATGGATCTCTATTAAAAGGGAAATGGTTTAAATACCAAAGGCATGTTTCGTTTATTACGCTGTTAAAGAGAGACAAAAGCTCACCTCTGTCGCTGGTAGACAACAAGCCTTTGGTATCAAAGGTAAACAATGCTCTGTTTCCATGGAGATATCGCGAGATTTTGTCGTTTCGTGGTCTGGAAATAGTATAACACAAGTAAAAAAGTGTCGGTAAAATTGAATTTACTGCAAAAAGCACACATTTCTCCCACAATACACTATATTATAGTTTAAAATATTATCTTTAAAGTCGCAAAACTCACTGAAAAACTGAACTTTTTAAACAAACAACTGTTTTACCTCTTTTTTCCACTTGCATCCATCTTTTTATATAATCTTTAGGGCCAAGTGACAGAGTGGAATGTATGTGAAAAAACACACTTTAATGGTGCGCCTATTTTTCTTTTTGTTGAATCTAGCTGTTTGTTTCTCACGCGAGATGTGGCAACACTTACCTGTCCTGTGGATGTGTAAAGGTTTGAGAATGTTAAACTTTGAGGAGGGTGGGTGTGATCACTCTATCCCACTCTTTTGCTGTGTGTGTGTGAGAGAGAGATTATAACTTTCCCTCTTTATTCGTCCAAACCTCCACCCCTTTCCGGACTGGGTGCAGAGCCGCAGACCAGTGAGGCAGGACAGCAGGAGGAAATATCCAGGAACTTCTGCTGCAACAATGTAACAGATTAAAACTATTATAAAAACCAAACCCAGCTGGACTGCACTGGACGCTTCTCTTTTGGATTGTTTGTAGTTTTAACGTGTTGTTACTTTGAAAAAACTTCAGGGTAAGTCATGCAAAAGTTACTCAGTGCGCGCTTCTGCCTGGAGAGCAGGTTGCGCATGGCCCTCCTGGCACTGCTGCTTTACGCACAGACCGCCTTCGGCTTCTCGGTGGCCGCGCAACAGGACAGCACCTGCGAGGCCAACGGCAGCGTCTACTACGTGGGAGAATGGTACTTTCTGGACTCTGACCATTGCACACAGTGCGAGTGCACCTCTGAGGGCTCTGCGTGTGCCCGCACCGAGTGCACCTCCCTCCCGGCTGCGTGCATCCATGTCAGCCACTACCCCACCGACTGCTGCCCCAGGTGCGAGAAGATCGGCTGTGAGTACCGAGGAGTGGTGTACGACCTGGGGCAGAACTTTCAGGTGAGAAACGTCACTTCACATTAGAAGAAAAACATAAAAAAAGAAGAAAAAAGGCTAAACTGAAACATTGGTCTTTGTTGAGGAGTTATTGTTCCCTGCCGTTCAATGAATGCAGTAGAAATGATAAACATCTGTGTAACAAAGGCTACAAACTCCACGACTGCACGGTTACAGAGGTGCATAGCGCCCCCTATGAAAATGTATTAGGCTCTGTTAGACATTGCTGGTAGGGTTATTATTATTATTTTAATAATAATAATAAATACATTTCAATTTAATTCTGGACAGATTAGAAATAATTCCTGTTGATTTTCACTTTTTTTTTCTTTAGCCGTCAGAATGTGAGCAGTGCACTTGTGACAGTGATGGCATCGCTCGCTGTCTAGTTGCAGATTGTGCTCCTCCGCCATGTGTCAACCCTGTCTATGAGCCGGGGAAATGCTGCCCAGAGTGCAAGGAGGGTAAGATGGAAAAAAGTGATTAAAAAAAAGGAGATAATATGTAAAATAAAAATGTAACTCCATGGTTTTAATATTGTTTTCTAAGACGTCAATCATCAGTTTTAGAAAAGATGACTGGGTCAGAGCAATGCTGCAATGCTGCAGCTCTTGTTCAATGTTTCTGGTTAGTAGCAGTGGACAGTATCTATCAATAGTGGCACAATGTAAAAGAATTATTCAACTTCTGACTCTGTTACTGTAAATGAAGTTAATATGAATTGTAGGTTGTTACATCTTGGCAGCAAACAAAAGGGCGGGGCACAATATTTAGCCAATGGTAATAATCTAATACCTCATTGGTGTGTGTGTGTGTGTGTGTGACAGTACCTTTGCTGCTCTTCTTCACCAGGTCCTAACTGCTATGTTGATGCCTCACGAAGTCAGGTGATCCCTGCAGGAGAGCCTGTGTGGGTGGACTCCTGCACCAAGTGCCGCTGCCACGACGGCCAGGACGCCGGCTACTGGGAGGGAAACCGTCTGGCCTCCTGTTCCCGCCTCAAAAACTGTATGCCAGAACAGCCCTCCATCCAGCAAAACTGATTCAGACTGATGTTGTCTAATCCTTAAAGACACAGATGAAGACCACTGAATCTATGATGTCTGTGCACAGTTGTGGACGATACTAATTACATCATGAATGTAATAATGGATCAGCTTGAACTTAAGAATATATAACATCCAATACAGCTGGAGTTTTTCTACCTGATGTGAACAAACATATCGAGGCACTTGCAGACTGGGTTTTAAACATGCTCAGAATAATAATGCAAGGGCAATGCAACTTGAATGTAAACCATGCATTCAAATATCTGTGTACTTTGTCAAAAACTTCATTATGGTGACAATATTGGGTAATAGATTTTATTAGTAAATTACATGTTCTTTAGTGCAAATGAAGTACAGAACTAGAATTTAGAACTCGAGCTGTGTTGGATCACATTTTCTTATTGATAATGCCAGAAATCAAAGACCTCTAATAACCGAACTTTAGTGTTGAAACCGACCAAAGTTAGTTTTTAGGCTTATTGACAAGTTATTTTTTACAAACAGCAATTTGTAATGAAGTACCAGTAACATTTGACATTTTGTAATAAAAAAGGTAGCTCACAAACGTCGCTGTACGATTTGAAATACATATATTTCAAAAACCGAGCTCTTAACACCAGCAGAACAACTCTTCTTCCGAAGAGGTTTTAAATTTTGAACGGTTCTTGTACTGTAAACGAAAACAACTCTTGTTCAGGTTTGTTTAATGTTTATGTCCTGTGGAAAGCAGAGTCAGTTTTTAATATGTGTTTTCTTCATTTGTATTGTGTCTTCAACAATACCTCGGTGAAAGATTGAAGATAACGGCGAGCATTTTCAAATGTGGAACCCCACAAAATCAATATGTTGTGTGTTGCTTTTAATCAATTCCAGCAAACTAGTTATAGTTAACTGCGGTCTTATAACACAGTGCATGAGTGTTGGATGATAAGGCTCTATAATTGACCTGTCACAGGTTGATGCAGCGCCGTGGCGTATGCAGAGCGGTGATGCAATGCAGAGTAGCAGATGCCCTGGCAAAGAAATGAAAAAGTCATAACAGCGCCATAAATTTTGAAGTTCAATTTCCAGACTAATTGAAATAAAATGGATGAGACCATGGCCGCAGACGTTATGAGAAACGTATGGACCTACAGCATGACTTTGTTATGGCCCATAAATGTTTGCTATGACATATAACTGTACAGAAGCTGTTGATGCAGTGGACAAACATTGTAAACAGGCTTATTGAATGTCATCTGTGCACAGACACAGTTGTGCAGTCAAACCTACAGGCACCAATTTGTTGCTTTTTATTGACTTATTCTGTGTGTTTTGGCTGTTGCAGTGGGGTTTTTTTATGTTACTATTGAAAACCAAAGTGTAGTGAATGTCATGTTGAGCATACAAGGGTCCTGGACATTTTAAATAAAAATGTAATAAATGAGAAATATCTTGTGTATTTTTTGAATAGATTAATGGTGGCTGTGCTGAGCACTAGGCCCAGTTTAATGTAAAACGCAATTATATATTAATATACAATATATATAAAACACAGATATTGTATAAAATGATGGTTCTGCAAAAAGTAAGTCATCCTTGGTCTAAAAAATCTTGATGATGTGGGCTTTAAAGAAGGCTAACTCTTACCTTGCCATATGTAAATCTGCAGCATTACTTTCTTCACAGTCTCTGTAAGACGTAGAGATGTTATTCATATTCACCCTACATGAAGTACACCTACATACTGTCACAGCTCACGGGGCCTCAAATAAACCCTGCTGATGTTTTAAAATGCAAGACCTGGCATTTAGTGTTTTAAATCAAATTTTGTCAGATTACTTTCTAAAGGAAACCATTTGGTCTGTTCACAGTGAGAATATAAATGAACAGGATATGAGGACATGCATCTCCACTACTGCCATCATGTCTATGTTACAAACAACTGTCTTTATTATTTGAAACATGACTTAAAGAAGCATCCGCAAGTACAAAACTAAAAATACTCATACTCACATTGGTCTGGGAAAAATGTTATTGGCATACCCCTGGTGATTAAGGCTTATAAATCCTGAAAAGATGGGAAAAGATTTTACATTTCCAGAATTAGACTGGATAAAGACGGGAAACAGGGAATAATTTTTCAGAAAATCACGAGAATCTCTCTCACGGCACCTTTCACACAGACACCGTTACTCACTCCAGTGAAGCCAACGACAGCGTGTTACAATCTTCAACATCAGATTTATTGATTGTATAGAAAAAGTATGTTTGATATGACATAATGCATTCTATATAAGATATAACATTTTTAACATTCAATGTACAAAAAAAACGCAATAGCTAGAGATACAGAGATAAATCTTTAAAAATGCCCAAAGGCCTAAAAGTTCTGCCTGCCCTGTGCAGACCAGACGAGCAAAAAAAAGTATTTGAAAAAGCGTTTCGAGTACTTAAACACCTGAGGTGTGCGCGACATGTGGAACGGCTTCAAACACCAAAATCGTCCATCAAGAAACATCAAGCGCTGCTTCGTGGCGGCTTCTACTCTCAAAGCAAATTCAAATACTATTTTTGCAGTTTATGTTGCTTAAACCTATAATCCTTTTTTTTTACACGTCTCTTTACACATGAGGCCTTGACTCTCCTGCCCCACCCTGACCTGCTTCCCTCAACTTGAACAGACTCCTTCACCTTGTGTTTTTCAGTAATGTATTTATACACAACAAGGCTGGAGAAGACATCCGCAAAGGTTCAAGACAAATGATATCTGGTCTTATGACAAGTACAAGTCTGTTAGTCTGATGGTGTTTTTCTTAGCATCAGTGTAAGGATCAGTGACTCGCTCTGATAAAATTAAAATTTGTCAAATTTGTTGTGTGTGCATCAATATGACAAATAAATAAACTTCAAATTGTTATTTTTTTGTTCTTTTACTCCACAATGAGCCATTTCCCTTTTCTCTCTTTACTAGGAGTGACTCTTTTTTGGGAGAAACCAGCTGAGGATACACCAAAGGTGTAAATAAAAGGGCAATTATTTCTAAACATGGCCACGTGAAGGACTGAGCAGCTGGGATTGGCTCCAGCTCCCTCTGGTGACCCTGAGAAGAATTAAGCGTTAAAAAATAGTTGGTTGGTGATAGAACACGTGTTAAATATATGAGCTGCACGGCTTCATGGAAAAAGAAAATGACTTCCCTGATGGCTCCTGGTGGCTCAGTCCATTTTTATATTCAGTTTGTGGCTAAATGTACTCTCTGTGTCCGGCTCTGTAAAATCAATAAAATAGTGTTATGTCTCAGAAGGAAACTGCAGCCGGGAGTGTCTCGCTGACAGAGCTGGAATTAACGGAACTATGTGTGCATTACCGTGACCCACCATTTGAGAAACACTGGCTTACAGCAGGATGTGGAACAGATGACAATATCGTGCAGACTTTGCTGTAAACACCGCAGCCGCAGGATTGTGCTCACTTCTCTGTATGCTGTCTTTCTAGCCAGGATGCTGAAATATATCCAGAGAGGTTGGCACTTGGACAAAGAAAAGGCAATCAAGTAGAGAAAAAAGGGAGAGAATGAGAAGGGAAAAGAGTGGGGGAAGGATGAGAAAAAAGGGAGAGAAAGGGATTCACAACTGGGGATAAAAAACACAGAAAAACACAGAAAATAATGAAAAGCTAAAGTAAATGGCACAGATTCAGAGACAAAACACCAAGCAGCAGGCTTGTGAGACACATCTGTGTCTGGAGTGGACGGAACACACAGTATGGTGGAGACATCCATGATGGGCTCAGAGCTGTGTGATCCACAAACACAACAATACACAGGAAGGAATAATCTTTAAAAAAAAGGAGAAAAAAAACCCCGAATTCATGTGACTTCTGAAGGCGTCAACAGTAACAAGAGCACAATCAAGGAAAGATGAAACACAGTCAAAACAGTCAAAGGCCTCAGTGTTTTGCTGGAGGAAATCATTAACTCCGCTCTGTTTTTTTCCTCTTTACAGTAGATGTTTGATCTGTTCAGATTGTGGCTTTAGAAATCTAAAAAGTAAAGATTATGGTGATAAAATAACAGAGACGTCAGTCAAACGTTTCTAATTACTCCTTTGAAATGTATCATTTCCACCAGCGGAAGACTGTAACTTTATAATTCACACTCTCTTGATAAAATAATTGCCCCCCCCATCCCTTAAAGATAGAAAAACAATATGAAATAATAAAAGGATCAGAGAAAAAAAAGAATATGGTGTAGTGAAGATCAAAAGTTTCAATGAAGTGTAAAAACCAGCGATAGTTTACAACACTAGTTAAAAAGGAACTAGTGAAGTGATCTTGTTGTCTGTGCATTGAACCCTTCAGGAGTTTGTACAGATGTCCATTCTCCAGGTGAAAAAAACACAATGATCATAACTGATGCCTCAGTCCACAGGCTGGAACCCAACCGTTCAATGCAGATAATATTCTCAAGTTGTGTTTTGACAAAATGTCAATATCAATACATGTACTGGGTCAACAGACTGTTTAACAAATGTCAAAAATATTTCACCTTCAACAATGAACACAACTGTTGGTAATTATTTTTTTTTATCTAAAATGTTGGATTAATATCCTTAGAATTAAAACAAACTGGATTTGTGCTCTGGTAATTAACTTGAACCTTTTATTCCACAGGCAAAAGAACAGGAAAATGATCTTCTGTGTTTTTAATGGTTTTATAAGCATAGCGTCATTTAGACGTTCATTCCAAAGGTCATGATAGTAATATATAGTTTTTAAGCAACAAGTAAAAGTAAGTTTGACATAAAAGGGTGTGAAAGCTAAAGGCTCAGATGATGGACTTGAAGAACTTCTCGCCATTTATACTAATGGTTCTCAGCACAAGATAACAATTAATACGAGTTTCTAATTAACTAGAGTAAATAATGCCATCAAATGACCCGGGCTGTCGGGAAAATCTGTGTGGATTAATGACAGGGGCATTTGCTTATTAGTTCAGGTTTCGTCAAATACACTCCAAGTCACTTGTCCTGTTAATTTGCCTGATGGATGAAGCTTCAAGAACATCACCAAATCACAGGTTAGGTTTTATCGTATCAAAAGTGTATAGAAGTAAATAAAACAAACCCTTACTAAAACCCTTAATGTTCCTCAAAGAGTCAAATCATACTGAGCTGTCAGTGTATACTCACCTCAAATCTTTTATTCCACTGTTTCCATATCATTCACTACAAGAGAAAACAACTCACATCTTCCTTCCCCTCTTCTTCATTTTTTTTTTGCAAAACTTCATATAAGTCAGTATGTGTTTCCAAGGTAGAAGTTTTAATATAAAAAGAGACCAAAGTTAGAGTGAGTCCTCTGGTGTGAGTCGCTGCTGACATTTTATCAGTGCTGTTCTTCTGCTGTAGATGCAGGCATGATACACATTCATTAGTTGACGATTAGAGAATTTAGGATCCAGGGAAGTGACTCCTCGATGGAACACGTCGATAATAATCTGCCTGTTCGGCGTCTCTGATATGAAAATCATGGAATAGCGGCTCACAGAGGAGCCAGACTGGGTGTTGACATCTTCAGCTCTTCTGACCATCGCTGTAAATGCTTTGGAGGTGATGATCTGGGATGATCTTTCTCAGCTCCCATGATGCTTCAGTAGCCAACCAGTAGGTCCCACATTCTCTGTCAGTCTCTCTCACACTGAACGTTTACATGTAAACTGCAGTTTTCTTTCAATTCACTCCGTATCAAACAAAATCTTGTCCAACACACCCAGGTTACCACCGCAGAAATATTCCAAAGTGTGATGTCATGTGACTGTCCCATCACCTACCGACTGTTCCTGTCAGTGTCTGTTGATCTGTCACTGGATTCTGTCTCCAGGATTCGTCTGATCACACAGCCACATTTGGGCTTTTGATCCAGGATCATGTTCTAAAGCCACCCATTGGTAAAAGTAGGAAATGCAAAGCCACTGGTCACTTAAAAAAACAACAACTGTAGTGAAGAGCCCAAGTCCTGGAATCTAGAAGAGACAAGCTGAAATGTCAATAAAAGACAGCAGTGGTGGGAAGAAAAGAGAGAAAGCTGGAGGCTGTGATGTGCTTGTGACTACTTTCCACACAGAGTTCCTTTCTCTAAATGGCCCTCATTTAAACTCTCCACTCCAGTAATCGTGCTTCATCAGTCCATCTTATTCCCCTCCTCTCCCTCTAGCCCTTAAAAGGCCGAGGCGGCGGCTTACCAATCTCCACGGAAATATTTGTGTAGAGGGGATAGTGCTTGACCTGAACCAGCCTGTAGGTCAGTGAGCTGATTCCATCCTTCTTCATGGTGTTCTTTGTGTTCTGTATTTTATTGAATCTAAAAAGGGTGAGAGAGAGAAACAAACAAAAAAAAGATTAAGTTAAAGTAAATGGGAAACACATACATCTAGCCTTTTTGTTCCATCAACACAAAGAAACTTTTTTTTGGTCTTAATTAGGACATATTTGATTAAGATTAATCAAGATAAATCCTGATTAATTTTAATGAATACAAATCAGACTAAAAATATTACCTTTTAATTTTTAAAGAGGACAACAACAACAAAAACGTGAATCTCAGTGCAAACCTCCTGGGACACCGACAGTATATGACAAACAACATTTTTCTGCCGTCTGAACGTTTAGTTTGTAGTTTCTGAAGACCACCCACTGGGAGCACGCAGTGATAGATTCTCATTCAGGATTCCCACATGCTCGACAAAAAGCCTCTGTGAAGACCTGCAACCTGCAACTTTATAGAAACTTATTTTCATACAGACATTTTTCTCTGGCTGCACACTAAAGGGGAGCATACAGGGAAACACACATAAATCAGAGCTGTGAAGTTTGGCTTTATGTCAGTGAGAAAGTAAACGTGGAGGAATGTGCTCAGTTTTATTCTGGGGACCAGTCAGGTACTGGGCCAGAAATTATTAAATTGTATGATTTGAAGTTAAATTAAATTCAGATCAAATTCAGAACAGCTCCACTGGTCTCAGCAGACCAATTAAGACAGAAAGAAATCAGTCGTAAACACATGGAAATAAAGTCAGAATCATCGGAACCTCATTATAAACATAGTTTAGAACACAGTGTTCAGTGATTTGAAGAATAATATTATATTTTGTATATTAAAACAACATCAATAATAATAAATAATCAAAAATAACTGCACTCGATAAGATTGAACGTATTATCAGTAGTATTATAGTAATCCATTTTTTCTTATGCTGTGTTTAACATACCGTTTATAGCTCGTGTCTTTCATTGATCCAACAGGTGGTGCTATAGCTCTGCTACACTGTGTCTCAGAGAAGGCACTGATCTGTCTGGGTTTGTCTGGGGTGTGCAGCTGGAACATATTCTTCCTCATTAGCATTTCTTAAAATTAAACTTTATTTCAACATTCAAAAACGGATGCGACTTGACTAAGTTAAATATTTCATACAGTTATGTTCAATGCGACCACTGCATGATTAATGTCTGCAGCTCCTCCTGTCCCCTCGTGGTATCAGGCACTGAGAATGAGGCCACGCTGCTCAGAGTGAGTGACATCATATTATCAACACGTCTGTCTCCAAGTGTGCGTTTTAGTGAGTGAGGACCGAAAGACACGTCTTTTTAATCCTCTCTTTGGACAACCAACTGCAGCAGACACCTGATGCCCACACAGGCCACGCAGAACCCTCGAGTGCTTGTCAGGACTGACTGGTGAACGTGACTTCTCTGTGTCTGCAGCTTCTTTTCTTCTGTCGCTCACCAAACGAATCAAAAAGAGCTGCACAAGCACAAATAGAAGCTGGAAGAATGTCAAGCACCTTTTCCTCCAGCAGTTTTGTACCCGAGGTGGGATATTATTAGATTTTCATATTTGTGACAAGCTGCAAGGATTCACATTTCTCCCGAAAATAAAATAAAAACTAATCAGCTAACGACACAAAGAGGAGCAGATATGAAGCCTTTTTTTAAAGTGACGCTATTTAAAACACTGTCATTCCTACTCAACTTTTGTTCTTCCTGAACAAATGAAATCAAAATACAATATGATTTACATGTTTTTGTATGTCCTGAATACTAATTGGATAAAAGGGACCAAGTTTAATAACCTAACTTGACAGACTTTGCACACCATCATTGATAGATCACCAGTTAGAGCCACAGTCCACCACGATCTTAGGAAGAAGCTAAAATCTGCAGGAGGCTTAGGACAAATGTGTCTGTGGACGTTATAATGAGTGTCCGGGAGTGAAGCAGAGGGAGGTTAGTGCTGACTAATAGCTCCATGATTATCTGCCCGGTGCCACAGATATGAATAATGTATTGACTTTAAATAAATAGTGCCCCTGTTGGTGTCACCGTTCATTGAAGAAATCTGATCCACAGACCATACAGAGGAAGATGGAGAGAGAAATAGACATGGAGAGAGTGGGAGGGAAAGA